TACCTCTTCAAAGGTGAGGCTCGCTTATAGTCCGAGTCCTCGTCCGGGGGCCCGGGACGTTCCCGGGGGACCCGCGTCCGGGCCACAGCTGCCCTGAAGTAGGCCTGCCCCGGCTTTTCCTTTCCGTGCCGTCCATCCCGCCGTCCCTCGACGAGCTCTCCTCTTCCCCCACCACGGGGGTCTCTCCTCGGGCCCGAAGGCCTTAGCTGCAGAGCTCCTCACTGGGTGTCCTCCAAAATCGTGGAGCCCCTTTGCTGGGGTTCCGCGGCCCCGCCGCCCCTCCCACCACCGCTCCCTCCGGCCTTAGCGCCCTCTTTCTTTGCCTGGGCACCCTCCCTGGTTCCCATCTCGCCGGTTCCACGGGCTCGTCGCTCCGCTCCGCTCCGCCTTCCCTGGGCCGCGGACTCCCACGCCGGGCTCCCCTTTCCCTCCGAGTGCTCCTGTCCCCCGCCCCCCACGCCAGGTTCTCGGGTCCGGGCGGTCGGACCTCGGGCCGCGGAGGTGGCGGCCCCCACCCCCACCCGCCTCCCAGTTCTCGGGTTAGTAACCTTCCGGTGTCCCCTCCCTCCCGGCCAATTGGCGACTGTATCTCCGCCTCCCGTCCCGTGCCTTCGGGGGCTACAGGGGTGTCCGGAGGGAGGGCAAGAAGGATTGTGCATCACCCACGCGTTCACTTGTCGCAGTGACCCGGCAGGCTGCTATGACTTAACACCTACCTAGTCTTTTTAAATTAAAAAAAAAAAAAATGTTTCCCTTCTTGTTGTCCCTACCCAGCCACAACCAGCCTGGGATAACTCTTCACTCGGCTTTTGAGAAAGGGTTGCGGATGGGTGGTGGCTGTTATCCTTGCCAGACCTGAAGGCCCAGTTCCTGTGCAGGAAAGGTTGTGCGCTGCACAAATACTAGCTTGCTTATCACTGTGGACTGGTTGCTTCCTGCTGCAACGTTGGGAGAATCCAACAGGAAAGGGAAGAGCCCCAGTTGGCCACAAACCTTTCCCAAAAGGTTGGAAACAGTGGGGCAGGGGTTGTATGCTTTTTGGGGGGCATAATTAAATATTTATTATAAGGTAAGGAAACATTAAGTGCCCATGGGCAAAACATTGAAGACCAGGGTTGGGGGGTGTGGATAGAAATAATTGCTTATTAGTTGAGTCCGGAAAGAATCCAAATAGTTGGGTTTTTTTTTTAATTCAACGAAGATAAAGGATACAGCATTCAGTGGGAAGACAGTAAATGGTTTTTTTGTTCAGTGAATGTGGTCTCAATTTGTTAAGTTTTTTCTCTGCTCCCGAATTAGAAGGGCAGCCATCCAGTAGTGTGCTGAACAAAGATCATTACCAGGGAGGAAGAAGCCATTACTATTAAAGCTTTACTGTGAAGGGTGGAGTTTAAAAGAGTGCCAAGCATTGGTGACTGTTTCTGACTTTGCCATTGGGTGCTAAAAATGATGAAACAAATCAGGAAATACTTTGCTTTACCAATACTTTGCAAATCTTGGTATACTGGAGGAGGGTATATACTTAACACCTAATCCTGAGCCAGAATATCTTGTTACATAGGATAAGTACCTTCAGTATCCATCCTGACCCTCATTGGAAGTCATTCATAAATATACTAAATTTTACACATACAAAAAGGAGACCTGAATTATTTGTATACTTGTACTGTTTATGGAAGCATCTGAGATGATGTGGAACTACTAGAGTCCTTGGAGACTGGAATTTGATCATGAAAGAGAAGTTTGTTTTTAAGATACTGTGTAATAGCCTTGGGCTGCTAGCCTTCTTTGAAGTAGTTTAGAAGAAGATGCTATCAAGGTATTTCTACTGTTTGGTTTGGAACTTGAATGTTGGTTATAGAAAGTTGTTTTTTCTCTTGAGAATGTTAATTATCCTGAATTGGTTTAAAGACTTTTCATTGTGGAATTAGACCATCCTAAACAATGAGAACACAGATTTGGAATCACATAGACCTGGGTTCAGATCCCTATCTGGGTGTTATGTTTCTTTGTGATCTTGAGATAGTTAACTTTTCTGAACCTCCGTTGCCTCATCTATAAAAAGGAAATTCTGCAATATCTGCCTCTCAGCACTGCTATGAGAAAGAGTGAGACTAAAATTTTATCTTGTGTGAGGATTCAATACATGTGGAAGAAGTTGTTGTTGTTCCTGTCAGTGTTTTAAACCTTAAATTTTCTGTCCTCGCTTCAGCAGCACATATACTAAACCTTAAATTTTTATAAATCACTATAAATGTTATAAATCACTATAAATATGTATGTTATAAATCATATTAGGAAACAAAACTAGGAAACTTAAAGTACTTAATTTAAATGGCTTATGGTTTCACTTTGCTCTTAAAATTCTGCTGAGAAGAATTTCCACTTTCTAAAATCTTACAGGATGTGAGTCACTTTTTTTTTACTTCAGTGCTGATTATTTAGCCAATTTCTTATTTATAGTTATTTTAAAACAAAGTAAAAAATTTTTTAAAGTGATTTCATTCTACAGAGATTTATTCACTCATATGAACTGCAACTCTGTATTTTGAAGAAGTCTTTAGATATCAAAGTTAATAGTTAAGGGATGCAAGCGCAAGGTCCCGAATTCAATTCCTGTAAACCCCACCCCCCCAAAGTTAAGGGAATTGGATTTAGCAACCAGCTAAGTGAAGAGATATTTTTATTTTTTATTTTATCCCATCCCCTCCTCAAGTCCTCTCCCTCCCTATGTACAAAAGCTTTTGTTTCCATTTTTTTCCCCTTCTATTTTCACTCCTCTTCTTATCCCTTCCTAAATGAAGAAATATTTTTAATGGTATGGGATGGGAATGTAGTATGAGGAGAGGAGGATAATTATGTTAAATTAAGCATTTGTTCTTGAAGAACATTAATATTTAGTTAAATTCTAATAGTGACTTTTGGTGGTGGGGGAATTTCTTTTTTTTTTAAAAATGACTTTTTATTTTAAAAACTTACATTTTATAAGTACACGTAATACGGTTAAAAGTCCCTGTGGGACGCTAGTAAACTAAGCATCAGTCATTGTTTCTGTTTACAAATTCTGTGGGAGATACCAGTGTAGTCAAAGTAACATTTTCTGAATGTATCTGTATAGTAGTCTATTTTGCTTAAGACTTTTTCTTTTCAATCTCATTGAAGGTCAGTAATAATAAACTATCAGTTGATTGTCAGAAGAAAAGATCATAGGAACATTGTTGTTTTGCTTTTTCGTAGTTTTTTTTTTTTACAACTTTTGGTTGAGCAACTTGTATTCCGCTGAATATGGAAAAACTTGTCTAGACTTTAGCCTTAAAGACTCTTGGTTGGCACACTCCTGTAATCCCAGCATTTAGGAGGTTGAAAGAGGAGGATTGAGAGCACAGGCCAATGGGACCACATAGGGAGACCCTGTCTCAGAAAACAAGCAAACAAGAAAACAAGTCTTTGTCAGGTTGGACTATGAATGTAGTTGAGAGAATAGGAATATCTCCAAGTTTGTGAAGATTGTATGGAAATGATCAGTTATTCTTTCAGATGGTAACTTTTAGAACTAGTGTGCTGTTTGTGATGTAATGAATTAAATTTTATTTCATTCGTTGCCAGAAAAAACATGACACTGAAATAATGCTTGAAGAGGTGGAAGTTTTTATTAAATAATGGATAATTACTACATGTATTCTGCTTTTATAGTACTTAGTTTGTGAGATATTTATTTTATATAAAGAAATTTACTATTAGACTTTAGAAATGATGTTAAAACTCAACAGGTGATACTAATCAAGTGTCAATTTATCAGATTATTTTGGAAATTCTAACAATGTTTAATGTCTAGATGCTGTTATTTAATTTTTAGTATATTACATTACTTAGTTAGCTATCATTGTAATATGTTTAAATGGAAGTGCTTTTAACCTAAGATACTAGTTGTGGACGGCCTTAAAATCTTATAGGACATGGTTACTGTATATAGTTTTTCAAATTTCAATAATTAATGGGCTGAAGATATGTATAGGTCTTTTTTTTTTTTTGAGCTTGTACTTATTAGTATGCATGTGGCCCTTAGTTAGATCCTTAGCACCTGTGTGAGGGATTAAATATAGTCATTTTAATTAAAAAAACTTTTGATTAGAAATTATTTAATTAGATACTATGTTATTCTATGAAGAAAGGTCCATGAAGTTTTTTGAAATCAGAGTAAATTCTCTTGTTGGCTAGATGACTTATTCCATCTATTTTTGTATTTGTTTTGCTTAATTGTAATCTTATCTTTTTTGATTTCTCTTTCGGTAGCTGAGAAGCAGCAGGTTCCCTTCATTTGTCACTTCATAGCACCTCTTTGGCAATACTATTCTTATAGTACCAGTGCCTTCTACACTTTTGCAGGTTTTTTAGTCTTAATTCTGGTGATATCATCCATGTCTAGTTGAGATTACTGTTTTATACTATAAAAAGCATTTGTGAATTTTAGATTATTTTCAGATGAGTGCTTTTTTTATAATATTAAAATTAATGGGTTACTTTGAGAAAACAAATTCCCTGGCTATCTGTCTTTGTGACGGCAAAAGATTTGAGGTTGGTGTGATAAGGAACTTCTTAATCATTGGTTAGAAGTAGAGGTTGCAAGGGAGAAATTCCAAACCTGAAAGTACTGGAGTTTTTATGTTAGCAGAGGATTTGAGATTTTTGGTTTTTGCTGTAATTTTCCAAGATAGTCTAAATATCTTGCTCAGATGTACTCATTGACCTTGATTTATGTGACCCACCCCCAAATAATGAATGATAGGTGATGCCTGTAATATAGGAACGTTGTAATCTTTTGGTTTTTCCCTTTGCCGTTTATACCTTGTGAGGATTTTACTATCAGAAGATAACCTGATAGTATGAGATCAGAAGTGATTCAAGGATTTCTTTAGCAGAATATCCAGCCTCTTCTAGTAAGAAGCAAGCAATGGTGAATATATGAAGAAAGGTCTATGAAGTTTTGATTTATTTTTAAATTTTTATTACCTATTTTGTTTATTAATTTGTAAACTTTTATTGAAGCTGGGACTTGATGTTATGGTGGACCTTGGAAATGTCAGCTAATTATTGTTTTTGTCACCTTGACATCTTCCCTTGGTATCCAAATAAAAGCATTAAATATGATATCTGTGTTTGCCACAGTACTTTGATACCCTCCGATTGACTAGTTGGAAATAGCCACTGTTTGCTGCATGGAGTCACTGCTGCCTAGGTTTTGGGGTTTGTTTTTTGGGTTTTTTTGTTTTGTTTTGTTTTGCTGAATCAGCAGGTAGAGGAAGCCAGAAAGATAAGCATTTGATAATGTACTCCCTCCAAGATTGTCCAGAGGCCAGCTTATATCTGATCCTGCGACAAGGAAAGAATGCATAATGGACTCTCTTTTCCTCTGGCCAGAGTGCAGCGAGTGCTCACAGATTTTTGGCTGTCTCCCTACCTGCACCACTAGATCCCAGTCATCTGAGTAAGACATGATCTTATTTCTTGCATTTAGTAGGCTTGCACGCGTGGTTTACTAGTGCTGGTGTCTAAATTTGTCAGCCAGTTTAGGTAGGTAAGAAGCTTTTGTTAATAGTCAACAGTGGGAATAAATGTTTCCTAAAATGTCCATAAAAATTCTCACAAATGAAAAGAGTGTTGTTCAGTTTGTATAAACTTGTGAATTCATTTTGATCTTTACATTTACGTAGAAAGGTGCTTTAAAACAACTTGTCCTAATTGCCTGTTTCCCCATTTCAAAAAAATTCTTAGGTGTATCCAAATAACTTTCGATATAAAACTTTGTGGCCAGGTGTGATGACTCAAACCTGTAATCTGAACATTGTGGGAGACTGAAGCAGGAGGATCACAAATTCCAGCCCTACCCAGGCAACATTATGACTTAGCAAGACCTTTTCTCAAAATGTTTTTAAAAAGGGGGTGGGATACAGAGGGAGATCTGGGGATGTAGCTCAGTGTGAAGGTTCTGGGTTCGATCACCAGTGGTGGTGGGGAGTTAGTAAATAATTTGCCGCCTATAGAAATCACAGGAATAAGTTCATCTAGTTGAAGTCTGTTTTTAAAAGTTTCATGAAGTTATGAGTGAAAGTGTGTACCTTCCTTGCTTTGGCTTTGACTTAGAGATGTCAGGATTATTAGTCAGCTTCCTAAGGGCCCTGTTTTTCCTTAGTAAGGCAGGGCTTTTTTTGAAGGGGGGCTGTCTCTAGCTTTATGCTAGTATAAGTGCAACTAAAGGTCATTGTTCTGTGAGCAGAGCAGCAAAGCTAACAACCCTGACGCCTCATATTTTAAATGTTTCATCTTGCCCAGTTGTCCTCACATCACCTCCAGTCTTTGATGAAACTAAGCAGAACATATTCATTCCCTCCCCACCCACTAACTTCCTTTTTGTGTGATGCATTTTAATATCACAGATTATTCATTTAGTTTAGGATTTATCTTTCAAGTGATTACCTTTTAAGGTACAGAGGTTGCTTACAGCATTGATAGTAATTAATGCCTGTCATCAGTGTCTAGTGTACCTATGATTAAAATTATGTTTTTAAAGGCTGGAGTATAGCTCTCAATGATACAGCATTTGCATAGCTCCCATGAAGTCCTGGGTTCAATACCTAGCCTTGAAAACAAATTAGTGCTTAAGACAGGATACTGTATTTCTGCTAGGCTGAGGATGTGTGGAAGTCATTATACAGGCAGAAACAGATTAAAAAGCATAAATTGGTTTTAATGATTGGAAAGAGGTCAAGAGCATACGCTAATCACCTTTCCTCCACTTCCAATATCAGATGTTCTATCCTTTTTATTTTATGAACTTCTGTTCTATTGAAACCATGATGATAATTTTGAAAGTATTTATTTTCAGTTGTCCTTATTGGAGATTCTGGTGTTGGAAAGAGTAATCTCCTGTCTCGATTTACCCGAAATGAGTTTAATCTGGAGAGCAAGAGCACCATTGGAGTAGAGTTTGCAACAAGAAGCATCCAAGTTGATGGGAAAACAATAAAGGCACAGATATGGGACACAGCAGGACAAGAGCGATACCGAGCTATAACATCAGCGTAAGTCTCAAGAGTTTTAAGTTCTGTGAAATAAGTTGCCATTGAGTAAATTTGGGTATTGGAAAAGTGCAGTAGTTTTCCCCTCATTTTCAAGACTCATAGTGGGTGCCTGAAACCATGGATATTTCTGAACACTGTTTCTTTGCATTTAATGGGAGCACTTTATGGCTGTTTTTGGCATATCTAAATTGTTAGCATCGCTGCTTTTGCCTTTGCTTGGGGGGGGGCATTAGTAAATAAGGTTACTTGAATGAAAGAACTGTGATACTGTGATAGTAGATCTGATAACCAAGAGAGCTACAGGTGACCACAGGACAGGTAGTTGACCTGCATGGACTGGGACTGTGAGAGAGTTCATCAAGCTGCTTAGGAGACAGGGTCAATTTAAAATTTAGGAATTTTTAATTTCTGGAATTTTCCACAGTCTCAAATGAGGGGACTACTTCACTGGGTTTGTGTGGGTTTGTTTTTGTTTTTTTTTTTTTTTTTTTTTTTTTTTTA